CACAGAACGACCACTGTCATGGCTATCCTAATGGCACAATTAGGCTGTATTACAGCCACACCTAATTTAAGTACTCCAAACTACCTCTGTTGTCTGTAGGTATGACTCTGTAGCCTGCTTCCTAATAGAGAGGGTAACACCCCATTTAGAAAGTGTATGTAACAGCAACACATGCAGAGAACACACAAACATGAAAGTCCAATGAAAGAAAGGATTATAAGCCCTCGGCTCCATTGCATGACTAAAATCTAAGAAATATCAGTTATGAACTAATTAACAGAACTTGTCTCTCTCTTGCACTACTTTCTGGAACTTGGCTAAGTTAAATGAATGGGTAGCACAGAAATCAGCTTTTAGTCTCCCATTTCTAACAAGTTCCTCAAACTTGCTGGTTTTAGATAACACTTTTATCATGCAACAGTCTAAGCCAGCATACAATTAAAGAGAAAGAAACAGATTGTTAAAATAGCACTTCTTCAATTATCCAGTATTTACATCACCAAATTACTTTTATTGACCAAGTGAAATATCACAGAGCTTTTATATTCAGAAAAAGTGCTTCAGAAGTATTCTTGGTTTTGTGTTTGACTGTTGTAACACACTAGCCTGCCTTGAGTTTAGCACAGAGGAATTAATGCATAGGAAAAGAAAACAGAACTTCCTCAAAACATTAGCTTACAACTGTGTATCAAAGGTACCAGCTGAAAATGTTGTAAAAAGTGTATTCCGGGGGGGGGGGGGGGGGGGGGGGGGGGGGGGGAGAAGAGGGTGTGTGTTTTGTCTTTTTTTAAAGGTATCACATAAAAGTAGCATTATTTCAGACTAATTTTTACATCACTTTCCCCTCCCTAATTTAATGACTGGGTTACATGACAAAATCCACCTGTCTAGATCGTGTTTTATATGGACTAAACCAACAGTATTAATTTCAATATACCTATCCCTTGCTTTGGGAACAATGTTGCTCAAATACCTTTGCAGGGACTTTACTACAAAAGTAGCTTTTATTCTCTGCTTCTATTCAGGTCTCCACATACTACTGCCTCTTTCAAAACTGCAGGGGAGGGGTTAATTTTCTTGTTTACAACTTCCTGTTTTGTAACATCCTTCCTTTCCTACTCATACCTGTGTGCCCATTCTGAATGCAAATACAAGACACTTGCAATACTCAGGTTAGTATCATTTATTACATACAAGGATAAATGCAGCCAAAGTTTATTTTCTATAGTTATTTCTAGGAGTTATGCAAACCTGCTGACTAAAAATTTATTTTGCTAGTAAATGCTTCAAGGAACACAACACTATGTAAACCACATTTCTGACAATGGCTTAATGCACACAACTCCTCACATGTGTGCGTACACACGGGGGGGAGGGGAAATAACACTCCCAAAGCTTGATATTCTCCAGTATTGAAACTATGTCTCTTTATGCTTTCTTCATCTGGCCTCTTCTGCCTTTTTCTGTGCCAGCAACAGCCCTCTTGATGACACATTTGTTAGCTACCTTTACAGCCACCTTTGCACCTTCCTTCACAGAACATCTCCAACACAAGAATGCTCTTCTCTAAGAGAATCAATAAGGCTGCTGCCCTTGACAAAACCTGCTCCTTCCAACACAGGCACAAGAAAAGACAAGTCAAGTGCTCTACATGCTTATTCGTTTACCTTACCTGTTAATTTACAAGAACATGAATCTCTGATGAATATATACAGGCACCATAGAAATAAACATTAATAGTGCTGAAGGGACAAAAAGCCACCTAGTTTAAAAAAAATAAACTGATGAAACACATCTACACCTCATTACTTTGTTCTTTATAACCCCTTTCTTACTACCTTTCAGCTGTCACTTTAGATTTGTCACGCACTGTGACCACAAACATGGCTTTTCTGTGTCTGTTCTGTGCATTTTGTGAGGTAATGTAATAAATATTTAACAAAGAGTTTATATTACCATGCCAATTAAACTCACAACTGATTTAAAGCCAAAGCCACTGCTAGATACGAGACTTGAGAGGCACAGCAACAGACCTCCACAGAACACATAGATTAGGCAAACCTGACTGTATGCAGTTCAGTAAAATACACCAAGTAGTTAATTTCAAACTACTTAAGTAAAACATCAGAGCCAGAAAGTGCCTACATGGTTACTGCATGTCTCAAAAAGAAACTAAAAAAAGAGCCACCAAAATCCCAAAGCCACAACTGCCTCCAGTTCTAGATCTTCTTTGTACTGAAGCAGATTGAAATTCTAGTTACACATCTAAACAATGTATGTATACACCTGTCAGTCATCCATACCTTCTATGTGTTTATTTGTATTAGAGCAAGCATAAAAAGCAACTAAGGCAGAATACACTTGAGCTAACACCTTTATTCCCTTAAGGCATTTGTGTGTAAACACTTGAAAAAATAGAAATAATTACAAGGGAAACAAATCAATCTAACCCAGAACATTGTGTGCACCTAAAGACTCAATTACATACCTTGAAAACATACAATCACTTATTTAGGAACATCCAAGAGGTCAGATGTTTTCTATTAATTCATTTATGCAAATCTGTTTGAGTAAGTTGCTTTTGGTTTGGGTTTTGTTCTTTTGTGTTTTTTACCAAAAAAAAAAAAGTAAATCCGATTAAACATAAGAGTAATTTTTATGCAGTAACTTCCATATAAAGAGTATGCACATATAAATGACAACACATCTAGAAGAATAAAATCTCCTATAAACATACAAAAGACATAGTTTTCTGTATGTGCTTTATCAGGCCTCACAACTACTTTTCTCCTCCCTTTCATTTCCCACAGAAAATAAGAAAAAAATAGGAAATATCAATTTTCTTCTACTAGGCAGAGTGATTAAGCTGATTAGCTTCCTATCTCAGGAATTAACTTGAAGAAATGCTTACACATTAGCAGGAAACAAGCGAAAGTTCAACTGATAAAAACAGTTACCCAGATCGGAATCAAAACCGTGAAGTTGTGAAATCCCAGCAAGTTTAAGAAAAGAACACAGCATGCTTTGACCTTTGAAAACATATTAAATCTGTAAAAAATGGGCAAGTTTGACATGAAACTTAAACCACATGAAAGGTTACAGCCTTTCAATAACGATCCTGGGGCAGTATTTCAGAAAGGTTCCCACTCCCATTTTACTAAGGTTTCAGACTGAGGCCAACAAAACTAGGCCACAGACAAGATGCAGGATCGGAAGCCAGATTTCCCATGGTTTTACCCCAACTGTGACTCAAGTTTAAACAGTGGTTTTGAAACCAGCTCTCTCTCTGTGGCCACAGGCAAGTCTTAACCACTTTACCTCAATTCCCTTACCTGCAGAATAAAAATAATTATACTTATCTGCCACACAGGAATCTTGTACAACATCGTCTGGCAAGTGCACATATGTTTAAACTGTGGACAAGCCTACGTAATTTTGAGCATCTGCACAAACTGAAGCTGAGAGTGACAACAACTCAGCTGAAGCAGTCAGCAAAGGCCCAACAACAACAACAAAATCCTAGGGGCAAAACACCGTTCGCGTGGTGGGTGCTTTTTCAAGTCCTGCTTCCTAACCAGCTGGCCCGCTAGCGCCTGCACACCCCATTCACTGACTCGGGACATGGCTCTCAGAGGAAGCCAGCGCTGTTCCACATCTGGCCGGAGCGATCGGCGAAGGGGTCGCGGCTCCAGCCCCCCGCGGCAAGCACTATACAGCCGGTGTTTCAGCTCTGCGCTCACAACTCTCGTGTCCCTTCCCTGCCACCACCAAGGCGCCCGCAGCCCCTACCCACGGGGATCCGCGGCAACACCAAACCGGCTCGGGGGGGCAAAGCTCACTCGGCCCCTGCCTGGGCACCGATTGGGCCCGGAGCAGCGAGCACTGCTCGGTGAGGCCACGCTGCGGAAGCGGCCCCGGCGGCCCAGCCAGGCAACCTGCCCTGCCCCCCGCCACCATGGAGGCCCCGAGCCGGGATCCCTCCTCCTCCCTCCTACCTCTCCCCCGGGAACCGCCTCGGGTGGGAAGATGGCGGCTCCGGCCGCCTCCCCGGTGAGAGGGGGGTGGCGGAACGGGTGGGGTGTCTCTCCCCGTCTAGCCCCGCCATTCCCCCTCACAGAGGAAGATGAAGGTGGAAAGGTGGAGGAGAGGCCCAGGCGGGCGCCGCTGTCGGGAGGGCGCGGGCCCCGGGAGGCCCCTCACACTCACCTGTCACCAGCAGCAGCCGCCGCCCTCGGGACGGGCCTCGACGGGAAGCAGACAGACGGGCACGGGGGGGGAAGTATCCGCTGGTGCCGGGGCCTCTCGCTCCTGCCGGACTTTCCGCTAGCGCCGGGGCCTCTCGCTGCGCTGCCGCCGCCGCCGCCGGGGCCTCGCCGCCGCCGGATGCCAGGAGGAGGAGAGCGGAGAGGGGGGCGGGGGCCGGGAGGAGGAGCGGGCGGCGGCAGCAGAGCGGGGAGGGGGGGTCGCGGAGGAGGAGGAGGCGGCGGCGGCGGCTCCGGGGCCCGAAACGTCTCCGAGCCGAGACTCAACCACCCGCTCGCATGAGAGACCCACTTCCGGCTCCCGGCGGAAGTCCCTCCTCCGCCGGCGGGAGAGGATTGGTCAGCGACGCCGCGCCGAACGACGCGCTCGGCCGGCACCAGCTGCCGCGGATTGGCCGAGCGGAGGCCCGCGCGCGGCTTGACGCGCGGCCACACGTGACGCACGTGACGTCACCCTCCCTGAATGAGCGCGCGGAGGCCGCCCGACGCCGCCCGCCTACCCTGAGGCGTTTTACCGCCTCGCGCCAGCCCCGGGGCCGCCGGCTGGGCTGGGTGGGGCGGGTCGCGCGCCTGCCTCAGGCCGGCCCCCTCCCCCCCCGGCCTGTCGCGCCTGTCGTAGCTCCTATCGCGTCTGTCGCTTCCCCGGTGACGGCTGCGGGCACCGTGCGGCTCCCCGGCAGCCCTGACAGATCTCCCCTGCGGGAGCGCGGCCCGCGAAGGGACAGTACCGGCCCTGTGAGCCCGCCCTTCGGGCAGGCAGCGCGCCTGGCCCGTGCTCGCCATCACCGCGGCCACGAGTCTGGGAAAGCTGTCGGGACTTTGCGTTGACACGGGGCGCGTTGTCGCCTTGTGAAGCGCTGTCACAACAGCAGTGGGAGGATCCAGATGCCTGTCCAAAATTACATATCCTACCACGGAATATTCTAGTTCTGAATATAGCAGCGTCTGTGGAGTGAGGCTGAGTAGCTGCGGCTTCAAAAGGCAGCGATAAACATAAACGGGTTTTATGAGAAGAGCATTTCATGGAAGAGCCTTCTGTTTCAGGTGGGAGATCATTGTGTCAGTAGCGCTCTTCTAACTTACCAGCCTCTTTACTGAGCACTAAAGTATATCATCAGTTATCTGAAACTGGGGAATTCCAAGAAATTCAAGAGTTCTTTTGTTTGAGCAAGGAACAGCAACTCTTGTCTAACAGTTCTAGTTATTTATTATAAATCATAATTTGTTTTTAACTACAGTTAATGAGGCAAATGGAAAACATGCGGTTTCTTCTAAGGACTTAAAAAGCCACAAACGAACAAAAAACACTAGAAAGAATCGTCTTTCAGGATTACTCCCAGTCCTCAGCTTGCCTTTTACCTCAAACATGGCAAAGCTACATCACCTTACAATGTAATTACCTGTACTATGCATTGCTGCCCATCTTTGCATCTCAGAAATCAATCCAGATGGGGCCTTCTGACCCTGTTTCTAATCCTTACTGATGAAGAATCGTAGTTCTGCCTGCTAGAAATCCCCATGGAGACAATACTGCAGTTAACTTCGGAGACCTAAAACACACCCAAGTTTCCTTTGGAATGTTTTTTGAGGTTACTGTATTGTTCCAAATCCCTAGGTAACAGAGGAAATAAAGTATGCCATAGTACCTGAAATGAAATTAGGGCTCATCTGACGTGAAGCTTTACCATTCATCTGAGGGAAGTGTGCCTCAGGAAGTAAGTGCTTCAAACACAGGTGGTGGTGTTTTTTTCCACAGTAAGTTGTTTCGGAACTGTTATGAGGAAGAAATGCTGAGCAAAGGAAGATGGCTAGCATAGAGCCTGATGAGGAAAAGGAATAAAACTTAGCTTTGAGCATAGGGATTTTATTCTTTGATGCTTTTCAGCAGACTACAGTTCTCTTCTTAGAATGAAGAAGAAACATCTAATTTTAAGCTGGTAAACATCATGAGTCCCATTATATCCTTGTTTTAGAGGAGCCTCAAAGTTCCGGATACCCTTTAGACATACAGTCTTCACCTCTTCCCGAAGCCATACTCCCATGCAACACTTGGAAAGAAAACCAAATCCATCAGACTAATAACACTGCACTGTATCATTCCCTCTGCTGTCTCAGGGTTTATGACTGCAGAGCTCATCTTCTCCCTTTCTGTAACTGAAGGAGTGTGTGAGAGAGAAAATGACTGATTCCCATTAAAGATCAGCACATGGAAACAGCCTCATGGTAGGAGAGAGTTTTCTTTAATGGATAGAGTTTGTTGTTTTGGATTTTTTCCCCAAAGCAGCTTATCTGTGTTATTAAAGGAAAAGAATACCTTTAGACTAAATTTTTTAAAAGCCCAATGTTATAAAGTTGTTACTTATTGATAAACATGTCAATATGTATCTATGATTCTATGATTTTTATTTCCTATTGTTAACTTTTGTTGTGGTTAACAGTGAAAATAATGCACTTTTTCCATAAAGTAATGGGAATTTTCTACTTGCTTGGGCCACTTCTAATTCTCTTCTGAGGGTGGGGGATATAGAACTTCATCAGTGAATGCTTCCAATTCTTAAAGGCATGCTGCTGAGATCAAAGAGATTTGACAATTTTCCTTGGTACGCTGCTAGCTGAGGAATGTGTGCACAGATATGAGTAAAATATTACAAATCAGCAATGGATGCTGTGTGGTAATACAAACTACTCCTGTTTCTTCTACAGCTCAAACTCAGCAGTCTGCAGAGAGAATGAATCTCTGAAGGAACAATGTGTGTGAACAACAGGATTGTGAGTCCACAAACATCAGGCAAGATGAGACTAAGATGTAGTTGGTTCTTTCTTGATCTGTGGTCAAACAGATGTAGAAGGGATTCTGTAAGTTACTTCTCAGTATATTAGTGATTTATAAGTTGGGTTTTTTTTTCTTCAATTGGGAGTCCTAGTTCAGCAACAAAGAATGAGGTATTTGGTATACTTAAGAAGGTAACTCCTTACAAAAAGGAACTGCAAAAAATACAGTATTCCTGGAAGCTAAACCTAGAATTGAGCAGTCAGAAACTCAGACCCTTAGAAGTCACTAAAAACATTGCAATGCTTGGACTTTACAGTCTTTATGATTTCCTTTAAGTATAATGCAAAGGATAATATTTCCTTCCTCAAAAGAGCATAGAGAACAATTCATTAAAGTTTGTGAAGCACTTGGGTGACATAATAAAAATTACACTGAAACAGGACTAGATTGTTCCTTCCAGCCTTGTTCCTTCAGCAGGTTAGTCAGATTTCTTTAAGACATAGGGACCATTTTAAAATAAAGTTGTGGCATGAGTGCCCACCCTTGTAAAACCTTGGTTTTCATTAACATGGGGTAAAAAAGTCTAAGCTGAAGATGGTACCGTGAATATTAAAACCATTGTTAACTGCAGCTGATTACAAACTTTGAGGAGATGGTTTAACAGTAATAATTACTTTTAATTGGGCATAATCACAACTCTGGAAATAACCATTCTATTTCATGCACTTTACACTATCATCAAACGGGCAAAATAACTGTTACAGCTGAAACCAAGACACTAGTATAGAGGCCTTACTTTGTCTGTATGGAGCAGGTCTGTTGCAGAGCCAGGACTTGAAAACAGATCTCTCACATTCTGGGTTTGTACAATATGCTGTCTTCGATTTAGTTATTGTTTGTCTGTGACAATATTTGTTTCTGTAGCATGAACCCATTTTTAAAATCTAACTAGACCTTAATGGGAATCATATAATTTATGTAAATTTTGTGGCTGAATAAGAATTTTCCAAAGGGAGCTGAAACCAACTCAATGTAACCACTGTGTGAAATATAAATGTATTTATGCCCAGTTAACAGGTAGCAAACTAAGGTATGAAGATGTTTGAGCTCAGTGTTGTAACTGTGCAGAAGTTGTGTATGCTCTGATAAAGTACTGTAATTTTTTATTTCTGTCCTCTTGAGCCCTATGCTAAGATTCAGTGTGGAATATACATATGCATATATTTAATTCCCCAAGCTTCCCATTTCAAACATGAGTGTCTTTGATTGTATTTCCTGCTGTTATTCTCATAGATTGTAAAAAGATTTTCTGTTTCCAATTTTTGCTTTTGGATGCATTTTTGATTCTCTCATTCTCAAATATGTTGGAGATCTGTGAGGAAAATTGCATGGAAGTTTTCAGGCTACTAGATGAGTGATTTGCAAAGATAGCAGTATCAAATGTTTCTAGTTGTACATAGATGTGCATAGATTGTGTAAGGCACAATAGTGAGCCGGGTTGAAAAGGTGAAAGATAATAACAAATATTTAAGATTTGAAACATAAGGAAATAGCCTCTATAGAAATATGTGTGGCACCTTTTTTTCCAATTATTCAAGAAAAATGTAGTCTTTGACTGAAATCAACATTTTATTTGGCCATTAGTCAATTTATCATCAGATAGGCTTTGTAATGGCCTGTCACAGCAGATTATGATGTACAAAAAGACCAAATGTAGAATTCAGGAAGTGTCTCTTTTTTTAAGTTTATTCAGGCCAAATAAAACATTCATTACAAAAAATGTGGTTCTAAAACAACACTTTTCCCTGAATCTAGCATTAGTCATATCACTAAATATTATGCAGTGCTATTAACATAGAACACAATTTAAATCACAGAGCTCTCCTAAATTTTCTATTTACTTGGAGAAGCTGCTTTAACCCTGCATCAAATATCTGTCTGTGACACAGAACTGCAGATGGTTCTAAAGACAATCAGAAGTGTATTTGTTCAGTTATAGCAATAGTGAAGATCCTTTAGCTCTTATTCATGGGTGTGTATTCCTTGGTGGATAAAGCAACGCATCTGGAAATGGTAAAGCTTAGTAATGAAGAGTTAGCAGATTCTCTGCTTGCTTGAATGTTCATTTGAACTTGGAAACTGTATTGCTGCTTGGCTATAGAGCTACTCCATTCTCATCGTATAAATGTCTGTGCAGTGTTGAAGGACAGGGAGATTGGAGTCCTCACCTTATCTTTTACAGAAATGGATGTTTTCAGATGGTAGATGTGTCATTAATCTGTGATGGGTGGGTGTCCTACTCATGCATGTATTTACACACAAGTGTCTGAATTAGTACAGGGGAGAAGGAGATTTTTATTTTTTTCCCTATCAAATTGAGCTGTGGATGGATTATGAGGCTGGGATAGTGTGATTTGTGTAATAGAGCTGTACAGGTTGGACTTCAAGAGATTGTACTCACAGCGTGATGACAAGTGCAGCCTGGTTCGTGACCAGAAAGGCAAGACTGTATTGACAGAGGAAGGGAAGAAGTATGTTGTCCTTTGCCCTTCAGAGTCATGATTTCATGTGTAACTTGCATGGTGCAACTGATGTTCCTTCGGCTAGGCACCTTTGGGTTTCTCCTTCGTCTCCATCTCCATCAAATACCTACAACAGTGGGATGCTGAGGGGGTAAATTTACTCTTAACACCATAGAAGAAGACTGCTGCAGGCTGCTATGTCATATGTGTATTGGATACAAGACAGGTCATCTATAATGATGTGGCTAAAAGTTTCAGATTTATAATAAAAAGCACTTGATGGAGACTGTGGTAAATATACAAGAAATTCAGACACAGGTTAGTATTTCAAATGCCATAAACCAGTGACTATTACAAGTTTAAAAATTACTTTGAAATACTGTGGTCTAGTTGTAGGGTCTGAGAGATGCTTTAGTGTCAGCATGCTGGATAGTCCTTTATATCAGGAGCTTGTTCCTAGGGGCATAGTGGGTTGCAGTAATCTCTTTAACACTAGTCCTTTCTAGGGTCATTGCATCACTGGATAGAAAGGAGTGTATCCAAAACACCCTTTCAGTGCTGGTGATTTCCAGCTGCTGCCACAGTCCTTTGAGACCAGTAGTAGCTGGTGTAGTTGGGAAGGGACTACCCAGACCATGCCAAGAAGAGTTGGCTCCAGGCAACTGTGCTTCACTCGTCTTCAGATGCACTCAAACTGCTCAGTCCAAGCAAGAAGAGGATGTATCCTTTCTGAAAGTACTGGGTGTACAGTGTCTGACACTTCATTTCAGCCCAAGTTGATTGTTCCTGGCCTTGGTTTTTTTTTCACAACTTCAAGAAATGATCCACTCTACTGCTTATAATTAATTATATCCAACAAAAGGGATTCTTCTGAGAGCTTTACACCTTATGGCTGGATTATGAGGTGACATCTTTCTTAGTGATGCAAAGTACTTGAGCTAGAAGAGGTGATTATGGAGGATAGCAGGAAAGGTGGCAGGTGAACCCAATTTGTTGTATTCATCAGTCATGACTTGAAGCATTTTTGGTTTATTTCATTTCACACATCCTTTTGAATTATAGGCTTATTGCTCCTGAAGCTGCAGAGCTGAAGGTGATTATTAGATAAGTCAAAAAAAAGTGTCATTCTTCACATGCTGAAATGTCTAAAAGCTAATTCTGTTGTAGATCACCTGTACTCTGCTATGTAAATAAGAACAGATAATGGCAATTTATGCATCACAAAAATTAATCACATGAAAGCAGGGTCTGTAGTCAGTAGGAATCAATAACATCCAGTCCTAAAAATCTACAGATCATGCATGAATACTTTTAATTAATTATATTAAATAATTTTACCATAAATTTTAACCTGCACTTGCACATGTATTTTGAGATAGATGTTTTGTTTTGTTTTGTTTTTTTTTGTCCAGAAATGCTCACTAGTCTCTGCTTGGCCTCTGATAAACCAGATCCAAGTTCCCTATAATCATCCTAAGGAGAATAGGGGAAAGGAGGGTCAGAGCAGAGCTGGTTGTCTCTGAGCTCCTTCTTAAGAGGATCTCTACGTTTGTCACCAGGGTGGAGGGGCAGAGTGGCTTTATGTCTTGCACTTGGCTAGCTTTACTTGTAAATACTTCTAAATTGCCATACATCATAGTTACTTAGGGTTAATCTATTTAAAAGAAACCTCTGCTGTTTGATCTTCAGATATTTTATGTCCTTAATTTATAGATACAGTATACCATATACACACTCTAACTGGGTTCTCTGACTTGTGCTCTGCAAAAGCAAGCAGGCCCTCAGATAAAGAAGCAATGATTCCAGAAGAAAAGACCATTAACTGTTGAAACTTTGTAAAGTCATGTCTGATTGTTCTTCACACCTCTTCCCCTCAGTCGGAGAAGATGATGACTCTCTGGAGACCTGTAAAAAAAATCACTTCATGCTGCTGAATATGAGAAATTGTCAAGATGATTTACTCAATACAGTCTTATGACCTCTCTTCCCTGTTGCAGAGCCCTTTTCCATGACCTGGAGATTCATTTCTGGTTTTCAGCCTCAGAAAGATTCCAGTAAGAGGGAAGGTTTCCACACCAGTTGTTTTCTAATGCTCAGAAAGATCAGTTAAATCTTACTTGAGAAGTCACAATGCTTTCTTCTCAGTTTAAGCTTCAGGTGGTGTTCCTGGCATCTGAAACATGTTCCTAACCAAAGGTCCTTGATCCTCAGGATATTTTTCAGAGGAAGTGTTTACCGATATAAATTGCTGTTGCTCTCATAAAAATTTTTGACTCATCTGTTTCCCCATCTACAACAGGGAAGTTGAAGATCAGCTCAAGCTTCTGGCTGCTCCAAGACTCAGAGAACTCTTGCTAAAGTAACCATCTCTAAGGAGGCAGGGGGTTAGTTTATTCTCTTGTCTTCAACACCAGCTCCAGCAGCATCGACACCAACTCCATTAAATCATCCACAGGTTGAGCAGGGCCAAGCACTTGGTGGTAATGGATTAACTTCGGAGCTGAAGCTACACTGATGCCCAGTAATAAGCCCCGACTTCCAACTGCCACATCAGAAGGAGGAAGGTCGTGTTTAGTATTTGGCAATGCTGTGTAAATGTCTTGGATATCATAGGCCAAGCTGGCACTAGACATCTATGCTTAACAGCTGGTTTGTGTGCTGAGAGGTCTGCTTCAGAGTGAGGTAAGCAGATCTCTAGACTCCACTGACTGTAACTAAAGCTTGGATCACACATCCTTTTTGGTGTTACTACGGGTGGATAAACTCATCATGAGAACTACCCAGTAGTGAAAAATACATGTTTATGCTGTTTTTCCTCTTGGCTAGGCCAGTTCTGAGTTAGGTCTGGGGCTGGCAGCTTACCTAGTGGCTTCTGTGAAATGTGCATGTGGTTCAGTGTTTACTGGACAAATATGTGCATCAGAAAATATTCTGCCTTACTGCCACACTGGCTGGCAAAGGCCAGTGCCTGGTAGTGAAAACGTGAGCCCAGGTGAGACAAATGCTATATGACCTACACATCTGAGAGATGTTTTCTTCACAAGTGGCTTTCTGGCACAGGAGCAAAGTGTTTCCCTCCAGCCTTCTGTGCCTCCTCTGTGCCTGGAGAGAGAAGAGCTCTGAGAGTATGGCTGTGACATTTGAACAGGACATGAACTGTGCAGATACATGTAGTATACATCTAAAGTGTGGTTTTCAGTACATGGTGATTTTTAAAACAGCTTAATGTTCTCTTTAATGCGTTTTGCAGTTCTAGCACCTCTTCTACACGTTGCACAGTAGTAGCACATTTTGGTGTCTGCTGTAATATGGCTAGTATTTTAGTCACGTGTTTCTGATTTTCGTGGAGTATTAAGTGGGTTTATCTTGCAGAGATACACAAACTATCTTTTAAAATGAATGGTAAAAGTGATCTGTGTATGAGGAAGTGTGTCCTTGGATCCTATGAAGTGAGTTAGGTGGCAGATAGAGGTGAGCTGCATCTCACTGAGAAGGAGTGTGTGGGATAATGGTGGGTGATGTCCCAAGACAACACAGCAGATGATCCCAGGAAATCCAGATAAGATCTTGCTGAGAGGCCAGTAGGAAACCTGCATGTTGGTATGTGGTCCGTACTGGAGGCTGGATTGCAGGCAGGCAAATAAACCAAGAGAATGAGGCAAAATGGATGAGTTTGACCTCCCTCACTTTGTAGACTATTAGGGAAGAAAAGGCCGTGTATGTTCCTGCTGATAATCCAGCCCCAATCTTGTGATAGGCAGACCTGAACTAATGGTATGTAAGCAGATGGAAGTTACAAACAAATAAAAAAGAATCTTAAATAGGGTTAAGAAGATACTTAAAATTATTTAAAATGCAATCTTTCTACTGAGAAATACAAATTGCATTGGGAACCAGGACGGGCAAAAAGATGAAGCATGAAGGATTTGTTTTGTTGTTTTGTTTTGTTTTTAACTGAAAAACATGCAATTCTAAAAAATAAACAGAGTGGGATAAAAAAATATTTTGTTTCTCCTGCCTTTGTGATTAGTACTGGTACCTCTTTTGCTCATCAACTTTCTTTCTTTTAAACTCTTGGCATCATGTTTTCTAATTAAATTGTAAGCTCTTCATGGCAGAATCTATATTCAGATATAAAGCAGTAAACACCCTGCAGCAATAAATACTTACCCTGATTGGCACCACTGAGCAATATAAACACAATGTAAACAATGAGAAAGCCTGAAAGGTGCTGAGCCCTGGATAAATATTGTTCCTTTCCAGCAGCTTACCTTATAGTTAAATATATTCTAACAGTATGCAAAACCATGTCAGCACATCAACTAAAGGCAGGCTGGATGCTGCTTGGAGGTATGGAAAGTCACGAGAAGCTGGGTGAGCCCCATAGAATCATACAATCACAGAATGGTTTGGGTTGGAAAGGACCTTAAGATCATCTAGTTCCAAACCCCTGACATGGGCAGGGACACCTCACACTAAACCAAGTCACCCAAGGCTCTTTCCAGCCTGGCCTTGATGTCCTCTGACAGGAAAGATGCTCTGGGAGAAGCTGATTTGGAACTTGGAGCCAAACTTTCCACCCTTCGAGAAGGAAAAAAATTGACAGTGTCCTCTTCTGATGTGACGCTCAGGGTGACTTTTATCTGATGGAGTAAGTGTCAGTATGTGAGATGTAGCTGAACTCCTATCACAGGCAGTGAAACGTGGAGAGCTATCAACCTGACTGCTTCAGTGGCCCACATATATTTGTCTAGTGCCATTTGAGACGCCCTATAATAGGCCCCAACTTCCAACTGCCACATCAGAAGGAGGAAGGTCATGTTTAGTATTTGGCAATGCTGTGTAAATGTCTTGGATATCACAGGCCAAGCTGGCACTAGATATCTATGCTTAACCAGCTGGTTTGTGTGCTGAGAGGTCTGCTTCAGGGTGAGGTGAGCAGATCTCTGGGCTCCACTGACTGTAACAAAGGCTTGGATATCCAATTCACATGTGGATACCTACCAGGTCTCTTAATCGATCTGCAAGTGGAATATTAGTGTTGTTTAAGATGTGCCCCAAGAGAAGACTTATCTTCGTGTTCTTTAGGAAAATAGTTACAAAATTGGTTGATTCCTGACACTGTAAAAGTGCTTTATCCTCCTTTTAAAAATTAGAGGTCTTAACATGAGCTGAAGATGCATGTGAGAGTGTAGGTTTCAGATTTGCTCTGAGCAAGCGTGCCCCCTCTGAGTAGACGCATAAAGCCAGTGCTCATTGTGTGGACACCAGAGTTGGTTCAGCACCAGAAGATGTCAGCTGATGCCGTGAGGCACGGCAGGGTTAGGTCACCTGCAGAGCTACTGGCCTTGCATGTTCTCAGAGAGAGTTTCTTTCCAAGCGTGTGGGAAGCAAGGACTATCTTTGGCTTATGTGTTTATACACCACAAACACAAGGAGCACCTTGTCTCTGACAAGGACACTGGTGCAAAACAAATTAAAAATACAGACAGCCAAAGTGTAAAGAAGTGGTGCAGCATGGGAAGAGGTTGCCCAGAGAAGCTGTAGATGCGCCATATCTGGAAGCGTTCAAGGCCAGTGGAAAGTGTCCCTGCCCATGGCAGGAGGTTGGAACTTGATGATCTTTAAAGGTCCCTTCCAACTCAAACCATTATGTGATTCTGTGAGATTGTGTGATGTGTGCCAATGGTGACACAGGTCCTTGAGGAAAGACTGAGGTCTTCTGAGGTTTCACTCAATATCTCAACTAAAAAGTTTTCATATCTATGCATGATATTCTATATCAAAAAAATGGTATTTGAGTAGTGCCTGATAGTTGATGGTTCTTCTCTAAAGGCAGATGCAATAAAAAAACAGTCCTTGACCACAAGGGACTACAGCATGAGGTGTGATCAGACAAAACAAATGAGAAGGGTATGTAATAACACAGGTGTGTTTTCTAAGTGTAGGAGCAGGACAGATGGACTGTCTCTGTGTTCCCAGATGTTCTCAAAGTGAGCAGGAACTGACTACCGCTAAGAGTTTTTATCTCTCAGTATGTTTTTTCACCTCATATAAACAAAGAAAAAGAAGGGTTTGTTCTGCTTCACTGGAGAAAAAAAAAACACCCCACAATGGACTTCCATTCAGGCACACAAATAGCAATAGTCCTGTGACTTCTCTATTTAAATGGGTATCCATGGTGAGATCTGCATAGCTTTCGTTAGATGACTGCAGCACGGTGCTGTGGTTCATGCTGTAGACAGGAAGGAAAAGATGGGTGAAAAATTCCCCTTACAATGAATGAATGAATGAATGAGGAAATGCCATAAGATATCAAGTCTCTGTGGCATCACACTTTAAAAAATGATGCCTGAGTTTTTCACCACTGCTTTACTATCCCTCCGCTCTTTTTCAGGCCCATTCAAGTTAAATGCTAGTCTGTATTTGTAGGCACAACCCTGAGCAACTGATGGTACATAAATAGGTGTAAAAACTGCAGCATTGCAAAACAGGTGTAAAAACTGCAGCTGTGTGGTGCGGTTGACACACTGGAGGGAAGTGATGCCATCCAGAGAGATCTTGACAGGCTGGAAAGGTGGGCCAGTGTAAACCTCATGAAGTTCAGCAAGGCCAAGTGCAAGGTCCCGCACGTGGGTTGTGGTAGTCCCAGGCACAGCTACAGGTTGGGCAGAGAGGTTATGGATCCCTGGCAGGGTTCAAGAGCAAGTTGGACGGGGCTTTGAGCAACCTGACCTAGTGAAAGGTGTCCCTGCCTGTGGCAGGGGGAGTGGAACAAGGTGATCTTTAAGGTCCCTTCCAACCTGAACTATTCTATGATTCTATGATTACAAGGGGCTTCCTTCCCAGGCTGCATTCCTTGTTTGCTTTCTTCTTTTCTTTGTTGGTAGCTGGAATTAATAGTCTGCTTTATGATACACGAGCCTGGGCCAGATCCCTCCAGGATTTTGGCTGGCGCAGAGCACAAAGGTTACACACAGAGTACACATTGGTACTGTGGGTACCAATGCAGCTGTCTGCTGTGCAAGTGGCCTCAAGTGGCAAAAGGGAAAGTGAAGTCAGGGCAAGATTACTGGACTTCTTGAACCACCTTTTCTCTGGCAAGAGTGGCAGGTCTGCCTAAATGTAGGATACTACCCATATGTTACCAAGGCTGTTTATATTGGGGATATCTGAAATAAAAATTAAAATCAACTAAAGTCCAAGCTAATGAATGACAACTTCATGGTGCTGGAATAGTTATTTCAACTGTTTGCAACAAAGAAATGCAGTTCTGCCAAATACGGGCTTTAAAAAATTGTGCATGTATCCCCAAAATAAGACAAAACTGGGTTAAGGAATGAAATGTGAAAACATTACTTTTGGGTTGTTACTTAGGTTCTGCATAAACATGCTGAGGTTTCACACTTGTGAGGTCTAATCTGTACATGTATCACCCAGAAACATTTTACAGTGTCATATTCTGATGGTAAGTTGAATGTAAAAATCCTTTTATAGATCATAGCATTTACCATAAAATTATTAGCAATGCTAATGCTGGATACAAATTGGAAGATATTGATACACCAATGATAATTCATTGAACTTTAATTTCATGTAAACTAGTAGAAAATCTTCTTCTGGACTTTAAGCAAGACCCAGAGCTGACCTACATATATTTTTAAATGTTATGCCTAAATGCTAAAAATTGATGTCATCAAGGCAAAGCCCCCAAAGCTTTCGTAGGTACCTTTTACCACTCACTGTTGTATTTTGCTTCCATGCGAAGACTGGAAATGGACTGATCAGTAAGCATTCAGTTTATTCAAACCAGGTCAGGAGTTAGGTGCTAATCCCAGCTGCTGCCAATACAGGAGCCATTGAAATGTAAAAGCGTGATTTAAAAAAAGGCTAATTTAAAAAGTGTTTTCCTGTGGAATGCAGCCAGCTTTTGAAATCAGACTTTCACTGTCTTTACTAAGCCATCCAAATGTTACAAAATCCGGAAACAGAGCTAAGGAATCCTGCCAACCCCTCGGTGCAGGATGATCATCTCACATCGTTTCTCTGCTTGGCTGTCAGGGCATGCCAGGGTAGATGCCTGTGGTGTGATGTGGTCCTCACTTTCCTTAGGGAGCCACAGAAGAGATGCCCCTGCTTGTGCCTTTAGGTCTGTATTCTGGAGGTGTGCTCAGTGTACTCTCCATGGACAGGCTGCTCCTTTGTGGAGTGAGTGTAGGGAAAGGCAGAACTCAGCAGTGCTGGCAACAAGGACCAGAAAGAGTCGGGATTCTGTGAGGAAAGGGAGAGAGAGGCATGATTTATGAGGAGGTGGAGGCACAACACAGCAGGCAGAGGTAGATGCTTCTGCAGTCCTGAGGGAGGGTGTGGGCATCCGCATGCGTGGAGGCACAGCCAAGCGTGAAAAAAGTG